GAGTAGAAAAGTGAAGTTTATGTCATGGTCGATGCTTCCAAATTCTTGGTGCATACCGTTTAAACTAATCCATATGTCCTTTGCGACGTCTAAGCGCTAGTGGATTTCCAATGTACGGTTGTTAGCACGAATACCAGCTTTTTTAGACTCTTGCGAACAATTATGCACTTTTGTGCTGATTTTTTCATATAGCAAATGTAGCAGCAGTTTTTACAGCAAGTTCGGGAATCGCGTGAGGTGCTGAAGGGGGGGGGGGGGTCAGAGGGTTTCCTGCCTGGGTGTGGTTACCTGCGAACGGCTAATTCTTGGTCTTTCGACGATAGTTTAATGGCTGCAAGGCCCATTGATGTATTCCAAATGCAGTTGCAACCTCGTGTTGCGTAGCTTCGTTTAGTATCATCGTTAGCCTGGTTGTGTTCATCTTTGTTTCGGCGTGGCATTGCAGCATCAACACTGCAATCAAATCTTAAATATGGGTTTAATAGGAGTATTAATAGTTTTTCTAAATCCAAAATATCAACGAAAGTAGACGTCCAATTCAGAAGAAATCATGAAAAACAATAACTTCATAAACACGTTTAATCAAGGGAGATAATTCAACACTTTGGTTTTTAAACCCCATGTTGTCCTTTAAATAGGTCACAGGTATCCAATGAAATAAAAGATAGTTGTTCCATGTACATTTGAAAAATTTCTTTGACGAATAAAGCATTATGCGTTTCTTTTTTTGTTGAGTATATAAGATCTCTCTCTCTCTCTCTCTCTCTCTCTCTCTCTCTCTCTCTTATCAAAATACTACATGAATGTTAGAACGATCTATCTTTAGTTTAGAACAATTTTATTTCCAAATGTAGTTTTTGCTTGTTAACACTGTAATATTAATGGGAAAAAACAAAAACAAAATTAAGGTTTAAAATTTTCCAACTTTTTTCATCTAATTCATATATGAGCATCATTATTGAAAAAAAAAATAATTCAACTATATTCAAATAATTTCACAAAAAAAGTGATCGCATGAATGAAACATATTTTGTAAATTTAAAAGTTTGATTCATGGTTGCATCTATTTTTTGTTCTGTAATGTTTTAAAATATCTAGTTTCCGTAGATATAATCACACTTTTATTAATTAATTTTTTTTCAAATACATGGTAAAACGTTTGAACTGCTAGAAACAACATGTTTATAAAACATTTTTATACTACAGGAGCAAATTTAGTTGAAGATTGTTAGTTGAAATATAAAAAAAAATTAAATCATTGACCTTCTGGTACCCCTTTTGTATTCCGATCAATTGTCAGAGTTACCGCTCCTGTTTTTATTTACAAAATTTCGCCTCTGTCATTTGTCCATTTTTTGCTAGATTCGGGAAACTAATAAGGATACCTTTCTTCTCTGTCGGAGATAATGTGTTTAGGTTTCAAATTCTTTCAGCATTAAAGCATTTTACAACCAAAATATGGAAGATCATGCACCGATGATTCAATGTTTACATGATTGATGTAAATACTGAGAATGCTGGAGCGGATCTTATACAGGGAAACGATTTCCTTCCGATATTTTTTATAAAATACCCATGCTATACCCATTATTTCAGTTTTGTCTATACCAGTAAATCAAAATTTGTTTTGTTCACCCATATTCAATTATTTAGAAAATTATTTGTCTATAAATAATTGCCGATACGTACATGCATAGGAAACATTACCTAGGAACAGACACATTTATATATATACCGATATAGCGATATCTAGCTAGATGAGCAAACAGGTATCAAATTTAAATAGGTCTACACTTAAATAAATACCAGTGCACTAGAAGATCCTACATAAAAATTAAGAATTAAGTATTTTAGAAAAAAAAATTAAATCGTATCATATATACAGTGGTAAGTCGAAGCACAAAAAGATAGAGTGTCATTAGCGTAAAACACGTGTATAAAAAAAAAACTGCGACGACGCTCACCGTCTGCAACGTCATATCTTTATGACGTTATTTCTCTGTTCTAGAAAAAATGCCATAAGGACCTTTTGTCGTGGTGGCAATCATATGTCAACAACAATATCGCACATTTTTTTGTAAACAATATTATGAGAAATATGTAAAAACTGGTTAAAATGCATATTTCTGATGCTGTATGTTCCTAAATACTTTCTACTTATAAGATAATTTTGAATTGAGAATATCAGGGAAACTATGTTACATTAGAAGTATAATAAAGCAAATGCCCGAATGAAGAGACCTGAGAAGGAGTTATTGCCCTTGTCAACATTTTTAAAGATTGAATAATTGATTAAATAAAAAAAATGCTTATTTTAAATTCTTTTACTTTACAATATTTATCATTACACCTATTGAAAAGCATTCCTCCAAAAGATATTGTTCTATCAGGTATTAATTTTAACTAAAAACAGTTTTTGCAAAAACCTATGACATCATAGGAGGGTGGAATTACTTTAAGAGAAGGTTCTCATTTTTGCCGTCAATTTTTTCATCATTTTAGAATAACTTTGACTGTCTGACAAGCCTTTTCGACCAAATTAAAGACTTAAGTCCCAGCTGCAGACAACCTCAAATTTTCTTCACAGAGATTGTTTCTAGAGGAAAATTTCGATTTCCTCTGCAGCGTGAAGAGTTTGATGCAAGGGGTAGGACTGTTAACGAATAAGATGAAGAAAATCCTTGGCAGAACCTATATCAGAATAGATGTCAAATTTCCAAGACATTACTTTCCGATGAGACCCACTTCAACCAGGCAGACGTCCTCTTCTTGCTGTCAATAAGCAGAACCATCAAGAGTTAGCAATAAACGGCCCTTTTAAGGGCCATTCAATTATTCGAAAAGATACCAATGAATAAGGACGTTAGAAACGTCGTACTTGACGTATATACCCATTTATTTTACCGAACTTTTCGGTAAATGAAAAGGAAATACGTAATACCTATAAAATTACACATCAAGTAATAATACACAAGTATAACTTATTTTTTTTTATAATTCCCGGAAATTTCGGCACAAGTGATAGTTGCTCGAACTTCTGTTTAAACTCGTCGTATCTACCAAAACCCAGAGACGTAGAAACGTCGCACTTGACGTACATCCCATTTATTTTACCGAACTTTTCGGTAAATGAAAAAGGAAATACGTAATACCTATAAAAATACACATCAAGTACATAATACACAAGTATAACTTATTTTTTTTTATAATTCCCAGAAATTTCGAACAGTGATAGTTGCTCGGACTTCTGTTTAAACTCGTCATATCTACACAAAACCTTTTAGTTAGGTATTTAAAACAAGAAACATTTTGACTCAAGCGGCAAACCACAATGTTCCTGTTTATGAGAGGCAACAAACTGATATTACTTGATTTGTTATTAATAAAATATATCATAAAAATCTATAAATATGTCACATTAAAACAGTGCATGCAATATTGCAGGCGCGTATTTTATTTGAACAACCGATTTTTTTTTTCATACATAAATTTTATAAGTAGCCTTTCACAGACAATTACCGGTACTTAGGTTAAAACACAAAAAATATTTGGAATCTCTTTCTCTAGCATATCTTAAAGGAGGGACTGTTGACCCCCCATCCCATTCAGATCCGCTAAATTGCATTTCTCCTTATTTTGGCACACTATAAAACATGCTATATCCTTGTCTGCTGCAGCAAAAAATTCGTATTTGTGAGAATTAAAATTTTACATATAATGAAAATCCTTAGGAAATATATACATGTACCTACATGTACATGCTAATATTCTCTGCGCTTCAAAATTCGTCAATCAGGATTTGATCAGATACAACTCTTACCCGATTATTTATTCAATTATAAGTTTATTTATATTGCATTTTTGCTAATTCTCAAATACCGAAAACAATCTAGAGAAATTAAACAAATCTCCATTAATTGATCGAAACAATGTTGTTCAATGAAATCATTTGTAGCAAATTAGATAAAACAGACCGTTATTATTAATTTTTCTTGGTGGATATTTCTGATGGCATACGTTATTACCAGTTTCGTTAAAGATACATATATTAAACACCGAAAAGAAAAAATAAAACGCTATTTTCAATACTAGACGGACATTTTGTAGGGACGAACATAACGTGACGACAATTTTGGATGATTGGCGGACACTTCGTGACGGCAGAAATAGTGTGACGATTTTTTTGGGGGGGGAAGGCGGACATTTCTTGGTGGCGGACATAATATTACTATTTTGGGGGGAGAAAGGCGGACATTTTGTTCCTAACACGGAGCATAGTGTGACGATTTTTCCGAAAAAGAGGCGGGCATTTCGTGACGGCGGACATAACGTGACGATTTTTCCGAAAAAGAGGCGGACATTTCGTAACGGCGGACATAATGTGACGGCGGACAAAACGTGACTCAACAAGAGGGCATACTGGGTACCGAATGGGGCGAGCACATCTGCATCACGGCCATCGCGAACGCATTTAATATCGCAGTAGGTATTGTGTCGAGCTCCCAGTCAGACTTAAGGTACATTTTGCCTTTTGATCGTCAAAATAGGGAAAATCTTTTACATATTTATTTAGGCCATGAGTTCGAGTTTCATTTTATAAGGTTAGAACCGATACCGGGCACGCAGGCGGATATTTGTATTAATGAAGTTAATTTTCATAATGTTAATACAGTGTGTATTCCAAACAGGGATCTCAACTCAAACCAAAACAACACAGATAATAACAATGTTCACAGTAATGATTTTTCTCACTATTCGTTACAGGAAGTTCAACTTGAACCTCAACTTACAGAGTAATGATTTTTCTCACTATTCGTTACAGGAAGTTCAACTTGAACCTCAACTTACAGATTATTCTAGTGATTTCATTCACCCACCTATCCACCAACGACAGTTCGTTATCTCCTCCGGTCAGCCATGTAAACATAGGGCCTTCGGCTTCTTTTCCTGACAACGAATTATTTAGACTGCAAATGACCACATCGATTCTCCTGTTCCGCCAGCATTGGAAACGCCGACTTTGCAACGCTTTTCCCCAACAGCAATCTCCGACACAAACAATCTGAGCTCCACAGAGAAAGACAGGTTATTTCCCCCAAGTCTTAACTCATCATTTTATTTATCTCCACCTTCTTTATCTCCAATTACAGATAGGATAAACGATTCAAATTTAGACAAACAGCCACCAGTATTATCACCTGTCCGATTAAGGTCTAACGTGCGACCCCCTAAAAAGTTTACACCAAGTGATTATGTCAGGGCTCGTAAGCAAATTTTTCCGGAAACAGAAAATGTAAACCAAAAGCAATTCACTGATTTACCTTACTTCATTCAGCGTCATATTTTATCCTTTGTAATATACAAAAATTTTAACATGTTTTTGACTTTAATAAGGGTTTCAACACACTTCAAGCATTTGCTAGGCACCCTTCATAAATTGTGTCCTAAAGTATACTTAAATGAAATTGTCATGTTTTTATTGGAAGGTAGGTCAGTATTCGCAGAGGGCGTAAGGCACAACTAGTCTGTTCGTCAGTTGGGCCGTGTGTCGGGTTCGGGTAGTGGAGTAATGATGGAATTACGGAATATATTGCGACCGATTTCTTCACGGTGGATTAATGGTTACATCGAGATACTGGCAACAGCAATCGCCGGATGGTATTATATTGTCGATTTTAAATTTAAAAAGTAACGGGTAAAACGTGGAAAATATCCTTGTATGTACGCGTTCAATATCGTGCTTATTAATTTATTAATTTTCAAACACTGTCAGTATATGGTGGTATGGCCTTTTTTTCTCTGATCAGGCTTCCAGTTGGAGCCACCATTCGCTGTGCCAACACATCATTAGGGAAAATGTGGTACGACCTGTCTCCTTATGAGCTGGTTTCCAGTTGGAGCCACATTCGCGCAAATCTAGGTTAACATGTAACAGAAAAAATATTATATTTATTTATTTATTTAATTTATTTAAATAGAGTATAATATATTTATTTATTTAAAAAAAAAAAAAAAAAAAAAAAGACTCTTAACAGGAGATGCCTCCACGTGGCAAGAGTTGGGCAACAGTTTTACTGGCAGAACTCTCCTAGAATATACTATAAGTCTGCCGACAACCCTTATTTCAATATTTCTCTACTAACAATAGTCACGTGATTTTTATTCAATATTAACTGGTATTAACTTTAAAAAACTTGGTATATGATCGATGCACAACAATTTTAAAAAATCTAGATTGAAAAACAGGGCAGGACACTTTGAAAGCCTCCACAAAATTAAATTGTCAGAAATATTCTAGAAATGTGCGTGTAATATTATTATTTTTTATTCATTCGTTTTGATCTCGGGATCAAACACGGATAAGCAGTGCTGTTTTTGGTCTTGCATAACGAAGTAAAAATTTACATTTGTTTTCAGCGAGACACTTCTCCCCTTTCCAAACAAAATGCTATGAACATTAATTTAAAGTTGTTTAATATTGAAGCTCGTATTATTTTTAGGTACACTGAATGCTTTTAATATGTTTAAATCATAAAAAAAATCCAGTTTCATTTCAAACTATGGACGTTTTGCAAGTACTGTAATTACTGATAATTATTGATATTGGGACACGCTATTTATCAAGACAGCGAACTATTTGTCTCTCTGAATTCCCTACAATCAAGACATTGATAACTTTGTTTGAAACCATTTATTAAATCCAATCTATTATGTATTGTTTGAAACTCAACGTGATGATAATTCGTCGTGTTTCATCAGACGATATACATTTGTAGTGGCTGTCGTTACGGTTTTTTAAAACATTTTTATTGGGCTGGGGGGGGGGGGGTTAAATTATTATTCCTATTCGTATCCTCTTCGTAGAATACATATATCGCTACAATGCACCTCCAATTTGTCTGCACCTTATACATGGACATGCATGTGAGATGTATTCCCTGATCACTTAAAAAAGGTTTATTGTTATTCGGGTAGTTTTTCTCCACACTTTATTATCTTAAAGACACATTACTGAGGGCTGTGTCTTTCAAATCTACACGCAAGGGAATTTTTGAAAGTCCTATTGTATTTAATTTTTGATAACAAACTGAATTAAATAGATTTCCAACTTTCTTTGACAACATTGTGATTAATCTATACATGTATATATAAATATAGGACTCAGTTTCTGCGTCATCGATTACGAATTCGTGTATGAAGTGGTAATGAGAGTTAATCGTCTTATTGATGTACGAACAAAATTTAAATTAGGAGTAGCAGTAATGATGATATAGTTTGACAGTTATTTTGAACTTACTTCATGTTGAGGTTGTTTTAGGCATAATTAATAACCAATTAGCCATTTATGATCGACACGGTAATTGATTTCAAAGCAAAATTAGTATAACTTCAAAAAGTTCATTTTTTAAAATCATATATAATAGCAATTTTTTAAATTTGATAACTGCTTTTTAATCATAGATGACAAAAAAGGTAATCATTATTTAATTACATAATTTGCCTTGAGTTTGTTATAACTGTGAAATTTGTGATTTTATTTTATAGCCACCATGAGAGTCGCCATATTCGGTTCCTCCTACGTGAAGCGAGCTTCAAGCTTTACAGACTTTGTCATGCCATTTGAAGTCGGGTGGTTTGGAGTTGGTGGGATGACAGCTTCTCAGCCTTGTCCAAATATCATCTCCAAGATGTTGAGGTACAACCCGGACATTGTTGTAGTGTGCTTAGGGGGAAACGACATTTCCAGTGGAGCCGAGGCGTCAACAGTCATTGACTGTCTGACGAGCCTTTTCGACCAAATTAAAGTCTTGAGTCCCAGCTGCAGACAACCCGAGATTTTCTTCTCAGAGATTGTTTCTAGAGGAAAATTTCGATTTCCTTTGCAGCGTGAGGAGTTTGATGCAAGGCGTAGAACTGTTAACAATAAGATGAAGAAAATCCTTGGCCGAACCTACATCAGAATAGATGTCAAATTTCCCAGACATTACCTTCCCGATGAGATCCACTTCAACGAGGCGGGAACAGTCCTTTTCTTGCTTTCAAAAAGCAAGACCATCAAGAGTCACTCCTAGGAGTTGACAATAAACGGCCCTTTTAAGGGCCATTAAATTATTCGAAAAGATACCAATGAATACAGACGTAGAAACGTCGTACTTAACGTATTTACCCTTTTATTTTACCAAACTTCTCGGTAAATGAAAAGGAAATACGTAAACTTATATAAAAATACACATAAAGTATATAATACACAAGCATAACTTATTTTTTCATAATTCCCGGACATTTCGGCACAAGTGTTAGTTGCTCGAACTTCTGTTTAAACTCGTCATATTTCGTTATATCTACACAAAACCCTTTAGTTAGACTCAAGCGGCAAACCACAATGTTCATGTTATGAGGCAACAAACTGACATTACTTGATCTGTTATTAATAAAATATATATTGTAAAAATCTACACATTAAAACAGTGCACGCAATATTGCAGGCGCGTATTTTATTTGAACAACCGATTTTTTTCATACATAAATTCAAAGTAGCCTTTACGAGACAATTACCGGTACTTAGTTAAAGCACAACAAATATTTTGAATCTCTTTCTCTCTCTCAGACATATCTTAAGGGGGGTTTTGACCCCCCCAATTCCATCCAGATCCGCTAAGTTGCATTTCTCTTTATTTTGGCACACTATAAAAAAAATGCTTTATCCTTGTCTGCTGCAGCATAAATTTCGTATTTGTGAGAAATTAAAATTTTACATATAACGAAAATCCTTATATTCTCTGCGCTTCAAAATTCGTCAATCAGGATTCGGTCAGATACAACATTGACACGATTATTTATTCAATTTTAATTTTTATTATACTCCCGCTTGAAAAGTGGAAGGGTATATAGAAATCGGTATTTCCGTCCGTCCCTTGTCCGTGTGTTACGCTTTGGGGTACCCATCTCTTATCCGCAACTCCTCTCATACCACTGAAGGAAATTTAATGAAACTTTAACAGATTTTAATTACATATTGCCATTGTGTACCTCGTATTTTACTCAATCTGACGTGTTTTTCAACACTTGTCACTTGTCCTTTTCTGCAGAAGTTGATCTCAACGGTTCATTTGCATTTCGTGCCAATGTTTTGACATTTGACGACAATGAAAGACTCATTTTTGATAATTGGACACCAGTGACGTATCAGAACTGGAATCCTAACGATGAGGGCGAGACAGCAGTTGACCCAATCTTTGGCCTCCTTTTGACTTATCATAACGACGGCAGATGGCGCAGGGTGACTGAGAGAAACTATACGTACTATACAGGAGAAGACGGACTAAAACTTCCCTTTATTTGTGAGGATTCTCCATTTTATTTGGAGCCAGAAGAGTGTTCTGTTACATAATGATTCATTCTCTTTTAATCAAAATAAACATTTGTAACCATTATCTTTGTTATATAATTTCATTAAGCATGGTGTATAAATTTCTAAATCATTAAATGGAGTATTCTTAAGTTAACGTTGGATCGTATATTCGTCTCCTCGGAAGTCATCTAGATTTATCCTCGGATCGTACATCCTCTCCTCGGAAGAGATCTAACTCTTATCCTCGGATTGTATATTCGTCTCCTCGGAAGAGATCTAGATTTATCATCATGTTTTAAATAAACTATGAATAGCATGTACACAAAGACAGACAGTGCATTATATTGTTTCGTTATTTTCCCAAGGAAACTGACTGGGATCTCCTCCCACCATACAAACATTTTATCACAAAGTGTTGTTTTTAAAATTTCTATCCGTAATCCAAAAAATAAGGGGCAAATATATTTTCCTAGGACGGCCGGTCCAGTTGTCTGTTTGTTTGTTATTTTTTTTTCCTGATTTATCTGTAAGTGGTAAATCAGTTTATATATATATATATATATATATATATATAAACCAAAGTCTTCACATTGCATAATAGAGAATGACTTGTCATATTGAATCATTTATTTTAAAAGATGTAGTCTCATAATTGCAAAGGTAATTACAAACATATTGATTAATGTTAGCTTGCTTTTATTTGCAAAAGTTGTAAATTTTAGATAACATCTTTCAAAAAATAATAAATAGGTGCTCATTTTTTTTAACTCCTTGTCTTGTTTTGCAAATTTGATTTCTTTTTTAACTTACATGAATTATCTGTAACCTAAATAACAATGAATTTGAATGATTTCAAATTTTGGTTTTCGCTTATGACATTCCTTTTGCATGGTATTAATTGAATGGCAACCACAGTAAAACGTATTGCAAATGTGTCGGTTTAAACAGGTTCCACTGTAATAGGTTTTACAAAAAAGGGGAAATCTCATCCTAATTCTCCGTCCAGACATCTTCATTTATTAGTGTGAATAACAACGAAATAGTTCTAATTTCAAATTTATTACAACACATATAAATACATCTTTTCAGAATATTTCGTAAAAAGATCACAATAATTTATTGCTTTACATAATCCTTCATACCCTGAAAACATATTTGTTTAGTCACTTGATGTCAAACAATTTTCAAAAAAAAAATCCGTGATAAATGTTAAATTTAAAAACTCTTTGAATCAAAACTTTCGTCTCATCAAGGGATATTTTCGTCTTTTAAAAAAAATAGAATTAAATTAATGTTTCACAGAAATAAAACATATTTCATTTTAAAAACCTCTTATAACCTTTTGAAATTTTCACAGAATAAAAAAAGAAAATGAAACTCTTATATTAGGATTTAATATTTTTGCCTAATACTTGACCATAAAGAGTCTTTTTTATTGTTATATAGTCACTGAGGATCCCATGGGTACCAGGCCCCCGGGGCCTTTACCGTTGGAAGGGCTCGGAAATCTGTTGAACCACCAGCCTCCTCTGTAGTAACTTTCAGTAGCACAGTTACCTCCACTCCACCCGTTGTTACCCCTGTCGGGGGTACTAAAGGGACATCCCAGAAATCAAACAGAATAACCTGTGTTTAACATAGCCTCACCTGTAGAATCAAACAAAATCAATTACAGAGATAATGGATTTATATATCTTCAATCTAATTGTCATTAATAATACTGAGGTACTTGAAGAAAACGGTTTAGGTGCTAAAAACAAATATTTATATAGTTAGTTTTTAATCCCCTATGTCTATAATACTCACCTAAAATTGAGAAAATATGAAACAGAGATAATAATTATTAATTTATGTCACATTAATTTTAATATGAAGTAGTTTGGATCATAATTTAACTGTGTTTCCTGAAAGAGAGATAAGAAATACAAGACAACAAAACACTGCGCAATTCACATAGCATTCTTTCTAGTGTAACAATAAACAACAGACGTGTTACACTTTTTAAGCATGGTATTATTTTTTTTTGGGGGGGGGGGGGGGGTAAAGGTATTAATAAGAGATAAGATATGGTGCATCTGTGAATGTTTTAAGATGTTAGATTTCCTATTAAATAAATGTAAATGTGTAAAATTTGGTTTTTAAACCCCTTTTTTTTAATTTTCCGAGCAAAAAATTTTTATCATCAAATTTTCTTAATTTCGACATTTAAGATTAATGACGACAAAATTTCCCTACTGGTGCAGTAAAAAATGTGAATCAAAAAACAGACTAACATTTTTTTTTTCCGTATCAGTTAAAAATTTAGTTTTCAAAAATCAAAAACAAACTGAATAACAATGTTGAAAAAATGTAATTTTGGATTTATTTGTTTAAAATTAACGTAATTTTCCTTGTACATAAAATTTAATTAAAAATTTTTTTACTTGACAATAACAAATTCAATATCTGATGAATACGTAATGGGACTGCAAGTGAATTTTGAAATTTTAAAATGTTTAATTAGCGTGGAATCAAAAACGTATACAGAATATCAAAAAAAACACATCTTTTCTTTTTTTCAACAACTTTATAACCTGTCAATAAAAAAGTATTATTATGATGATATACTAATTTTTAAACCTAATTTTTAAAAACTTAACATGAATACACTGACCTAAATTATTGGCAGGTCCTGCTAGAAAGAGTTATATTTCCCTTTGGGGGAGAATCATGTACATTTCATAGAGTGTTGTACCATTCTGGAGAGTGATGGATACATAAAGGGATGAGGGTTTTTTTTCTAATTTTTGGATTACGTCATTTCCTGTATTAAGATATATTTGAAATCATAACATCAATACAATTAATTCTTTTAAAATCTATATGAATCTACCAATGAAAAATCAAATTATTTTACATAGCTGTAGACAATATTGAAATTTGGTCTCGTTAAAAGCCGTAAATGATATTCTTCTTTTCTATTTTTTTATTATTTGAAATATCAATTAAAAACGATACTTAATATAAAGAACACACATTACCTGTCTAAATTTAGATCTTTATTACGCATTATAATTTTTTACTTGCCACAAGAATTTCTTCAAACTTTGAATGAATAAAAATTCTTATTTGAAACCATTTACATTACCCAAACCAACGTTCTGTTCTGGTAACCAAAGCCATTCTTATAATCCCTCCCGTTCCGTCAAAGGTCAAGGTCCTCTACGCGTTTCTGAATGGCCTTTAAAATTAACATGCGTAACAATTCAATATATTGTTCAAAAAACATAGGATCCATGGTTATGATATAAACTACAATAAAATCCCCAACAAAAACATCGATACAAGGTGTGTTATATTAAGTACTTTTAATTCTAAAATAAACTAACTACCGTCCATCCCCCCCCCATTGTGTTCATATCACAGTACACACTAACGGGGATTGTTAATGTTCTGAAGGGGTAAACATACACCCCTTATGGTTGTACCGTTTTCTTGAAGACCTTTAATTTTGGGCATGCTAAAAAAATCTAAAAAAAAAATATATCAAAAAATTAATAAAAAAAAAACGTGTCCCCTCAGAAAGGCCTAAAAAAACCCCAAAGAAGCTAAGAAAAAAAAAAAAACCCCCCTTACATACCGTTATCCAGTAGTTCTAGCCGGCCTCCTCAGCATACCAGACGTTAATCTTTTCTTGTGGGTACGGCATTTCTTAGTTTTGGATTAAAACCAAAAAAAACG